ATAATTGTGCATTAATAGTACTTAGATTTAAGTTCTTAACAACTTGGCAGAAATGATTGTATGATCTCAAAGGCCTGGGAGTTGGTGGTTGTTTTTGAAAGCTCTTCTGTGGCATGCTCAGCAATGGAAGTGCTCCAAACTTCGGCCTTTTCTTTGTCATTTTCTCTGATACGGCTGAGAGATAAAGTTTAAGATATATGTTAACGTTTTTATCAAGAATTCAACTGAGTTACATAGTAGATTTCGCATGTTTTGGCGGGCCGTTTACTAATAAGCACACCGCTAAATCGCTGGAATTATACACACACACTTACTTATTTCGATGTCATTTTCATGAAAATGCTTTTCACAAGTAAATACTTTGTCATTTTCGATCTGTCGTTGGAAGTTACTGTCCGTAACTCTGTATTTCTTGAGCTCATGGAGCCAATCTTCGCGCCATTTGCGATATGCTTCGTTCCGAGGTGCTGGAAGCTTCCATATTCCAATTCCCTTGGTTTTACGGCAAGTTCCACAGCCAACTACGGAACAGTTATCTCCAGGCATGTTTTTGAGTTAAAATCTATGCATTTTCAGTCAAGCAAACAGTAATAAAAATAATTTAAAGTCAAAACATTTCTCTATCAACCATTTTCGAACAACGCTGCATTGTATTGTGATGCACGGTAGTCGTGACGTCACGCACCAAAAAGTTGAACAATAACCTACCCCTTTGAAGTTCGCCGGCCTTCCTAACCAGTCCCCTCGATTAACTATGTAGAAAGGTAGCACATTCTCCTCAGTTATTTAAAGACCTTGAGAGTTGGTTCGGCCGGGGCTCCAACCCTCCACCTCCCGCATAACAGTCCGGTGCTCTAACCAAGTGAGCTAACCGGGAGGCGGATATGTTCAGGTTTATGATGATTGATGATCATACTTTTATTCTTAGGTCGAAATTCTTTGTTTTTGTTCGAACGGGAAAGAATAGAAGCGAGCAGGTGAGGGCGCTTTGATTGAGTCATACATATTTTTCTGTTGTGTATACGGACCTGATAATGGTCTAAGTAGCTCACCATTGCGTCCTTTGGAGTGGTTGAGTATCAAGGTGCGAAACCGAAAGGTTAGATATTCGATTACCAACTGGGAAATTCGGACGTTTCCTTTGTCTCGCGCTTGGATAACGTCTTATGCAAGACTTCTCGAAATTGCTTGTTGAGGTGCAAGGCAAAAATAAGAGGGGAAGGGGAGGGTCAAATGTACGTGTCCAAATATCGTTACCACCCACCTCAATTTGATCATGCATGAGCGAGCGACAAGAGAGAACGGAATCCGTTAAACGAGCTACAGCTACACAAAACTAATAAAAACTGGAACCATTTTAATCATTTTTATCGATGAAAAGCTCAACGGAGATTACACTCAAATAAATATGTTTGCGATTGACAAGACAGGATCTTTTCGGACAGGACTAAGGGAGGCGTTGTTTAGGCCCATAGTGAAACAATAGCGTTTCCATGGTTATCCTGATCAACAGATCTAGGAACGTCTATCCGCTGGTCAAGAGTGAAACGTGTTACACTGACCTCTTACCCAGACCATCACCGTTCATATGAGCACGAGCTCAAACTTCGTATCCATGGCTTGCAGTAGTGTTGATGTACCGTATGCATGTCTGGCTAAAACATGCGGTCGTATGAATATATACAGCCGCGTCTGATATGAAAATGCAGTTCCCGTCGCAGAAAACGTGTTTACGATTAAAAGTTTACCAAGGGCCTTTTTAGCTCATTGCCTCTCTCTCGTGCTGTACTGGTGAAGAAAAATATTGTAGGTAATAATTCATAGATGTTTTCGTACGAGACAGCATCGCGCGAAATACCAAGAGAAAATAATAAAATGGGCCAGGCCAGAGAGGGAGACTATCCATAAATGGCATCAAAGCATCGGCTGTCACTCATTGCTGAGTAGGACGGCAACTTCTTTGGTGCGAGCCTCCCTATCTGTCTTCTTCTTTTCAAATAATATTCAGCACGAAAATGTATAAAGGTTTGGGTATTCTATTTAGCAAACATCATTTTGTATCCATTTCCGAAGTTGTAAGGCCATGGACAGGTGCTTTCCTTGTTCTAAAATACGATCATTGCGTTTTCAATACCATTTGAAAGAATAAGCTGTAATGTCATAGCTACGGATAACTAAATTATTTTTCATTTTGAGGCTGATAAGTTTACAGCTCGCTTACCATTTGTATACTACTGCATTTGCATTTTCCGGTTTTATGGGTCAGTCCACCATTGAAATATTTGACCCGGTGTCTAGCATGTCTGGTGGGCGTAACAGAATAAGTTAATGTCTGGTTTTTCTAGCCTTGAAGAACGACTTATTACGTTTATTAAACGCAAAAAAGAAGTGATCATTGGTTTCTCTAGGTTTTCTTACGCACTCTTAACGTCTTCTCTAAATCTATTAGTCTCTCTGCAGCGATGTTTTTTATTTCATCTGAGATAGGCATCACTGAAGAAATAATTTGTGGACAACGTCGAACGTGATGAAATGCCAAAGCATGCAAATCAGTATTGTATCACGTACTCTAAGATCACGAGGAAAGAACGCTTTTACGTAATAACATGAAGTATCAGGGGGGCTCCTGCATGTATGCAAAACTGTTAATGAAATCGTTAGCGACAGGTTTCAGTAGTCTCACTGTATTTGTATCATATATTCTTCATTCCATTTCCGCTTAAGTGCTTTTATCCCTCATTTGTTGAGATTTTTTTTATGTAACTCTCGCTAGGATTTTTCGAAGTTAATCTTGACTCTTGCTGCTTATGTATATCGAAAACATGTACGTGCTAAAATGTGTTGGCATCATGTTTATTTTGGTTAGTACCCAAGATTACGTGACAAGGAAGCAAATAGTTCCATTAAAATAAAATTATAAAAGCGGGTTGACAGTGACTTAGGAAGGCCTAAAGATAGAGCAGTTGCGGTAATGACCTTGTTGAGCTTCTCGCGCAACTTCCTACAACTCATAAATATTCAAGTCTCTTAATCTTTTTAAATTCGCGGGTACGTTCTAAGGCTAGTCATTTGCTATCAGCTAACTCGAACCCCTGCCAACCGGAAGCAACTTTTTGTTTCCTTACTGTATAAGTTATTTCGCCTCATCGAATTTATGTTTCACTTCAGTAGTGCCCACTTTAGATAATTTCATGACTCCTGACTCCTGGAGCTCCTGCAGCACGTAAGTCAAAATTAGAGCTTCCCGCGGCGCGCTAACGTCAATTTTTTTTTAATTTTTTTTTTTTTTTTTTTGTGACTTGCGCGACAGATTTCGCCGAAAAGTAGAGACTGCAAGTAGTCTAGAATTATAGCGATCATTTGCTATAATAGATATGCAGCGAGCGCTAACATCAAGCAAATAGCTTGTAGTGGAAGAAGACACCCAGAGGCCCAATCGAACCGCCAACATTCTAGATCTGAATAGCCATAGTAATAATAAGACGGCTAGCACCCAAGTTGTAGCTTTAGTAATAATAAATGAGAATTTAAAACTTTTTGTTAATATCTCAATAATTTCCACCACTGAATCGTCATTCAGACAGCTGAGGGTCTTGTTTATTATGTAGAGGGAGGTTCCTGTATCGAAATTGTGTTTTGTATTTGAAGAGATAGATCTAAACGTTTGTGGGGAAATATCCCTAGTTATCCGTAGTCTAAGACTAAGTTTATTTTTAGAAAAACTCGTCTAAATCACTGATAATTCCAAAAGCGTCGACACAATTGTAGAAAATCTCTTTTGCTTTTGAACCTAGATTACAACTTCCCTCTACCTGTTCTTCTTTATATTCTTTTTTTACTTTTTTTTTTTAATTCACACGCGGCGCGCGTGATTTTACATTTACAATAAAAATTGACGTGGACAATTTTATCGCGTATCTTTTCTTCACAACTCCATCAGCCACTAATATGATATACTTTAATTTTTCAGATTTTTCTCTAATAGCGAGGCTTTTATAACTTAAAACGGTCACGTGATGGTGAAAACAGGATTTCTGTTGCTGTTTTCCCTTACATTGTTTGTTTTCGGTAGGTGTAATTACTGCATGTCTATCAGACCCCTGAGGTGAACCTTTTTGTTTTATCAAAGTTTTTCCCATTTCAATGCACTACAATGCAAGACGTCATGCTCAGGAATAGGCAGCCGTCGGGTCATATATGGGGAAGTCTTCGGGGGATGAACATACGAGCACACAGTAATCTCAGGAGTACATGAATAAATCAACTCTGCGAAAATCACTCAGGCTATAAGGTGAAGATCGAGGGGAGAGAGCGTTTATTTTTTTAAGGTCAAATGCATCATGGCGGGGGGGGGGGGGGGGGGGGGGGGGTTAAATGCAAACGCTTCCAAGGGTCTTACGATCTACTTGCAGAGGAATGCTGATCAACCTAGAAACTAGTTTATTATGACTCTGCAACAGCAGTTTTATCTACGAATAGAAAGCGATGCATCGACGCCAGTCAAAGATAATTAGCATGAAAACGGTCGAATCTTAGACTAGAGCTCTAATAGAACCCACTGGTCTATATATTCTGAGGAGTATATCCTGCGCAAATACAGTACTGAAATGTTTTTTTTTTTAACACACAGACGTGAGAGTTCAGGGCAATTCATCGTGCAAACTTGATCAGATGACAATCCGTGATCCAGTAACTGGTTCGATTCAGTGCCAAGACTGTCTTAAATGCCCACCTGGAGAGGGACTTTCAGTCAATTGCGGGGACGTGATAACCCCTTCAACACCAGTGCAGTGCAAACCATGTGTGCTAGGAGAGACGTTTTCTGCTTCCTTCAATGCAGCAGCTTGTGAAGACTGTGAAAATTGCGGTGAGTACCGTGAAACGACGAAAACCTGTACGGTGACTTCCAAGGCTAAGTGTGGAAGGTGCAAACCTGGTGCGTATGCCGAAGGCATGCTTGGACTGTGCAAGCCCTGCTCTCCGTGCTGTAATGATGGTAACGATATAATTATACCGGAGTGTCAAGTTTCAGGTGTACTAACAGGCATGCAGTGTAGCTACCTGCGATCTGACAAGTGCAGCGCACTGATGACTTCAAGTATGAGCACGATGCAGTCAACCCCTCTACCAGACCAGTCCACGACCTCCTGGCGACCATCCCCTTCAACAATCAGCACCGAAGTAATCTCTTCTTCAAGTGAGCCAGTCTCCAGCCTGATTGGAGACGCCCCGCCAAATATAGGCATCATAGCTGGTTCTTTTGTGGGCGGTCTCTTTGTTGTCATCACGATCTTCGTCATCGCGTGCCACAAAGTTATGCGTAAACGCCGAAAGGCCCCGTCGATAAGGATTGGTGTGGTTACGGTGGAAAACAGAGCTGGCCAGGCGCAAAATCACCAACACGGTAATAATAAAATACAAACAGGAGATAGATTCTCTCTGCCACCCGAAGTTCCGTACGAAGAGAGCCCACTTCCACTTCCCATTCAGGAGGAGGCTGGTGATAACAATCCCAAAAAAATAGGAATGCAAGAGACCGCGTCTCCTTTATCACGCCAGAGTTGTTTAGGTAAAAAATATGACTTCTTGACAATATTTTTTGTTTGCTTTTCTTTCTTAGAACAAATTGAAAAGTGTTGAATACCAGTCACACACCTTATTACTCTTACACACTCTAACACAATGGTACGGTTCGCGATTTTGATGAATGTATAAAAAAGCAAAATCCGGCAGAAACCTCCCAACATATTTTTCAAAGCAAAGAGAAATTTTGTAGGGGAAACTTGAGTGAAAAGTAAAATCTTGGAGTATAAGGACTCCTACCCCAAACTTGTCTAATTGTTCCTTCTTAAGTTTCAATCCCAAATAGCGCACAATTTGCCTTGCAGAAGCTATAAAAATCCTTGCTTTGAAAGCCTCAAATTTTTAAAACGTAATTTCAAACCGATTCGTAAACTGATGCATCTTTTCATATTTCTGTTGTTTTAGATTCTAAATTTGACGGGTCTGTGATGAAGCAGTGTACTGAATCGTCTAAAAAGCGAGCATACAGTCCCCCCAATGTTGTTACCAGGAAGACCACTATCACGATGTCCAAAGTCACAGATGAGGAGGTCACTCCGTTTGAAAACAGCAATCAGCTCCTTTAAATTATGTAACAGCCCGATAATTTTTGCTCGGTAGCCTCGTTTAGTGACAGAGAAATCAGGACATATTAACTACTTTGGTCACTCTTATTCCAAGATTCTTTGTTCTATTGATTGCATGTAACCAATTACGCTTCCGTAAAGATCTTCAGCTATTAGCATTTTCTTTTAGCAGCCAGAGACTTATGAGTAATTTCTGTGGTGCAATATAGGCAAGCGAAAGAATTTGAGCAAATCCTTAATAGAGAAATCATTAAGGGACCGGTCATTTTTTATTGGCTTTGGGGGAGTGTCAGAGGATCTTAGTAATGTTAAGATAAAATTTAACTGTCCTCTTCCTAAGGCTTTCTAATGTAGTTACGATACCTCTGTCGGAGAATTTGTCTTTCGTGCGTGACACATTTCAGATGAAGAGTGTAAACATTATGTCAACTAGAAGCACCGCCTGTAGTGATTTTAGGACATTGATCGGTTTACATGATCGACGCAAGCTTGAATGACCTTTTAAATCAGTACTTAACAACAACAAATCACAGTGTAAAGAATATCGTATAAGAGAGGGATTTCTTACAAATGTTGCAGAGTAGCTTTTTACACAGCCATTGTAAATAAGCGAATACGGGGGTAGAATAAAATAGTTTGATTGAGTCTAGTTCGTTAGGATTTTATCCCTAGTAAACGGGGCAAAGTTTACGAAACCTTCTCATCAGCAGTTGAATTGGCAGTAAATTGTCTATAGTCCCCCCTTTATACTATGTTGGCAACGACTGATCCACTATACGTTCCTTCTGAGAACCATGTGATCCACCCAACAATCATTCAAATCCCCTTCCCCCGGCGATAAATAGTGAGTAGTAATGAGTAGTTCCTAGCTAAAGGTCTCTTTACTTGGCGAGAATTCTTATCCAACCTCGTTTACCCGCTCAAATTGACCTACAGTGCGGGGAAGGGGGCTGTGGAGGGATGGGTACCTCTCTTGGGGTGAAAGCTTGTCTGTTTGCATAAACCAGAACAAGTCGTAACTTTCTTCATAATTCGCTGACCAGTATATAATATAAAGTGGCAGGTGACTGACCAGTATATAAAGTGGCAGTGGCATGTGACCCAGTCGAAAAAGATTTATCCACGTAGTGATATATTTCAGAGACAATGTTTCTTATTCGTGGATCGTTTTCACACGATCAACAGCGTATAATTTTTAGCTTGAAGTTTTCAATTCACTGATAAACCAATCCAATACTATTCAATGGCCATGGAAGTCGCCACCTGTAAGGGCAAACGCTGTCTTTCCCTATTTAACAAATGGTTAACACCACAGCGTACACTATTGAGTTATGGATGCACGCGGGAGGTTGCTAAGCACGAAAGAAGCGTAAGAGTCGCTCGAGGCGATAGCCGAGAGCGACTCTAGCTTCTTGAGTGCTTAGCAAACCTCCCAAGTGCATCCATAACTCAATAGTGTACGCTGTGGTGTTTACCATTTGTTTTATAACATAACATTGATACATTGTAGCTAAAGAGTTCCCTTTTATTTAACAAATCTTACGCGACCAGAAAAAACAAGCGCGCGCGGAAAAATAGTCTTTGCATTTGCTCACGTCAGCAGCGTACACCCATGGGCAAATGGGGGACGCTAAATTGACCAATCAGAGCGCGCGCTTTACTTTGGTTATGTTATAAGAATTTTTAATACATAAACATATCCGTTAATAAGAAAAAAAAAAAGATAACAAAAAATGTAGATGTTGTGTATTGTATGATTTGAACTCACATCATCTCGCTCTCGGGCCTAGACAGTCCGCTGTGCCACATCCGCACATACTCAACTATATACAGACAATGGACATCTCAGGCTGTGGACCATGTTTATCTACACAAAATTATCTTCCCATTTTTAATTCAGACAGTACCAGGAGGAACCTCTTAATAATCTTTGTCATATGAACACTTCTTATCATTGAATACGATGCCAAAATACAAATTTAATAAACACTTTTTAAAGGTGTGCGGGTGCATGCAAAAAGAAAAGTATATAATAAAAAAAAAAACACCGTGAAACTTTTCCTGGAAGTGGACCTTCTGACCTATGAATTAAAGCAAAAAGTCTATTCCCAGCCTTTTCATTAAACATTATCCGAGTTCAGTGGCCACAGCCACTTTTATTTGACATGATTTGTGCCTAAGCATGATGCGGTAACATCTATTAACCAGTTGAACTATAGAACTAAGCCAGAGACCCAGTTAAACGCATTCATCGATCTTAAATAGTATTATGGTAGTAAGTCAACTAATACCCAGCTTGGAGTTTTGGTGATGATAATAGAATTTATTACTTTTGTTAATATCTGTATAATTTCAACCGCTGAATCGCCATGCACCGTTTGTGTGCGAGGAATGCTATTTTCCTACAGGAAAAAGAACCCTCACCAGGAAGACAAGTAGAGTACGTTTAGAAGAAAGTTTTCATCGCTCTCTCTTGTCGTGTGCGCCCTCAACTCTTAACAAAAGGGAATTTTCTAGGATAAATTTCATTTTTTCATAAAGAGAGACCGAATAGTACGTAGTGTCAATGAACTACGCCAAAATCTTTTAGATGTACATGTCAGGTACTAAATTGAAATGTCGTCTTCCTTTTCATCGCACTTCGCCAGCTTTCCGCGCGTCTGAGCAAGTGATAAATCTCCATAGAGACATGCATGGATCCACCTCCTGTCGAAAACATTGCTAAATCGGCATTAGGAGATTTGAACCAGATGAGAAAGTAAACATTTATTTTCCCTAATAACATAAAAGGTCTAAGAAATAGATCTAGAGGTTCTTGAAGAGAAATCATCAAGAAGCAGGAAGTATCCTTCTCCTCCACATGCTAGTTCTCGGCAAAGGGAAATCCCCTTATAAATTACTTTTCAAAACTAGTCACTAAATCATTTGCTCGTTGCAGAGTGTGCGTGAGGGTTTATACCAAGCCACAATTTTCAAGGCAGGATAAAGAGGTAGGATAGGATAAAGTACTGAAAAAGAAAAAAAAATGTAGTAGGTGCACTATAATATAATCGGAATTATTTTCACCCCCACGATCGTTTGTGTGCGAGGAATGCTATTTTCATACAGGAAAAAAACCTTTACCATTACCTAATGTTATGGTGTGTAGGGCTTTTTTTTTCTCTCTTGCAATAATTTCTATCGCGAGTCACGAGCGCCGTTCTATTTCAAGTAGGGTCAAGGGTAAATAAATATATCTTATTAGACTTTTTGTTGTGTAGTATCGCTGAGTATTTTTACGAGTTGCGCCGTATTTTGACGAGCCCGTAGTGCGAGTCAAAATACAAATAACGAGTAAAAATAATCAGCGATACTACACAGCAAAACGCCTAATAAGTTATTTATTATCCAACACGCCAAACCGTTATTTCAGAGCGGGCGAATTTCGCGGATATTCATTTACGGGGAGTGCGCGACAGAAGTATGCGAAGCGGAACGGAATTGGCGCGTTGTCGTGTTTCTGTTTCTATTTTCTTCAATAAATGAAGAAATTTCCAGGTCTTCTAGCTGTTTTTCTTCGTTCGATTCATCTAATAAACTTGGATGTATATTTTCCAGCCATTCCGACTCTTCGTCGTCGGAAATATGATTCAAATTGACCGCCATTTTTTTTTTCGTAACTGCAATTGAATTCTTCGCTTGCGTGATGCGAGAAAACCTGTATAACCGGTACTCTAGAGTACAAATACCCGCGTGATATTTGTACTCGTCTATGGCGTTATTTGTACTCTACGAAGTTTAGTTGGCTAATAAGGGGACATTACAGGTGATGACAATTAACCGCCTGAAGGGGGTCTTAGTGGGGAAATAATGTTTCCCTTGAACAAGATTCGGGAAGGATTTGATCAAGGTTCCTCTCTATGCATTTGGTTATCTAAAAACCGGAGACTTTTCACGCGGCCAAACGCATTAAGCTGTCTTCCTCCCTACTCCATCGCCATTAGAGTAAATGCAGGTCTGCATACAACTGTACATATTGTATCCGAAGCAACATATTTAGAAATATGGGCAAGTGCAGTCATTTACATAATCAAAGTGGCCAAGTGAACTCCTGAGTGGTAGCTAAATTCATGCATAGTTAACATTTTGTCCAATCTGGTCACCTCCATGTTATCACGGAAAGTTAGAGTCAGAACGCTTGAAACATGAAACATAACCGAAAACCACTCTACTCTATAATGCATTGACCCTCTCTTGGTTGCCGAGCTTGAAACAATCTGTCAAGCCTGTATTTAGCTGGTTTACGTTACAGGAATGTAAATATCATCTTTTAACTTCATTTTTTCCGTTAAGCTAGATTCATCACTCATAGTTGTCTTAAGTTGTTTTTCTTGCCTGGTAAAATTTAGCCAGAAGTTCCAGTGCTTCTTTTACCAGCAGTCAGTTGCTACGATTTGAAGGAAGCTAATCTTTTTCATGCTTGACAGACACCTTCTCCGCAAATCCAAAAATCCAGAGTGGAACACTTTAGATGATGCAACGTTATCAAACTCTATTTAACTCTTTATTTCGCTGACCCTCCATTAGTTCGCAAGAAACTTGCAATTGCACGAGCAAGTTGGCAGGTTTGTAATTGGCTGATTAACTTTGAAATATTACGCTAAAATTTCAATTGTTCTTTCGAGAAATCTTTTGTTGGAAGGATTAATTGCATGTACGGCAAATGTAAAATTAATAACACATACGTATGTATTCCTCTAAATTGTAAGTTGGTTGTTATATGTAAAATACCTGCTTAATAAGGCGCATTTCGTCGAGGCAGATTATCAGATTTAGTGATTCAGTGATTCAGATTTAGTGATTATCAGATTTAGTGAAATCAACATATCTTAGTAAACTTGATCATTTACCCTCTTTGTCCCCACGTTATTCCTTGATTATCTTTATAACTGGACAAGAGCAGGCTGAAATTCCATTGACTGTGCTCAAAATCTTATCCTATTTTGTTAATTTGTCGATCTTTACAACATTTGTTTCCCTCATCGGCTTCCCAAAACAAAAGGCGAAATTCTATCTCCGTCAAAAAAGACTTCCAGAGTGTTAATAGGTCTAAGTGGGATCTAATTCGGAGTGTAATCAGATGAGTGATGACAAAATCGGACCGCCGGTGCTAAGTTAGTTGCCAGAGCTTCGCTTAAAGACGACAGTCTTGAGGTCAACCTCATAATCAGGGCGCCATTCCTCTCAAATGGGGAGGGGTGACCTCTCCTTTTTTTTAATCGAGACTGTAAAAATAGATATTAGTTTTGTCAAAAAAATTTACGAAAAGAAAAGAACTGAAAAAGCTAAGGTGGCTTAGACTATACTTTTGTTTGTTGTCTAGTTTAATGATGTCATGTTTTTTTTTTTTATCTGACTAGAGTACAAACCTGTTTCTTCTGATGAACTTCAGATGAACTTCACCTGTTTAGGTGAAGTTCATCTGCTAAGTCTTGATGCTAGAGTGCTTTGTAGAATATTTTCCCATCACTGAATTAAGCCATCGTTTTGAACAGTGGCCACCGTTGAATTATCTGTGGGTTTGCGGTCAAGGTTTAGGTCGGTAAGATGTAAATAGTAGCGTTATGACTAGTTGACATCCCATTAATTTGAGTTATTCTTTTTCGGAACTGCCTTAAGGCATTTACGAGCCACAAAACCGGCCTGTTTAGATATCAGTTCTTCAATAAGGAAACACTGCTTTCATTTTTGGCCATCTCATTCAACCGTGTTCCAACACTAGAATTTTTGTGTAAAGGATTTTAGTGCCACTTTTCCAACAGAAGAAAAAATGCCTCAAAAAATTTGGCTGAATTGTCAAGCAATGAATTCTTGTGTCCAAAGAACAAAAGAAAACCACTCAATTGACCTCAATGGCTGAATCCTGAAAACACTTAATAAATATAACCACGTGACCGTCGCAGTCCCAACTCACTGTTTGACGTAAGTCGAGGACATTTTATCCCTACCTCGTGGTCAGATCAATAGTCGGGAAGACCTCCGTAGCTTCAAACGCTCAATAATAAATCCTCAGCTTGCAAGAGGAGGCTGTTTATTCATGGTTTATTCATCAGGTATTCATGTACACAATTTTTTTTGTTGTTTTTTTTTCCTGTGTGTTTGGGGGTAGTTTGGTCATTATGACGGTTGCCAGCATGAATTTTACCGCTTATTGCCACTCAAGAATCGGGCTTTTGAGCCACTCAAGAGCCCACCAACACTGATGCGCTGACCATCGCCTCTCCGAGACGAGGATGCCCACTGTAATTTTGGCAACATGATGATTCAATGTTTAAAGCGAATATTTTAATACTTCACTCAATGTTGTGGCTGGTTCATAATTTTTGCTAATATTCTCGATTTATGATATCTTTACAGCCCAATACCAAATTACACCGACAACTGTAGATAAACACGGCCATCAGGCTGATATGAAAATTATCTTTATCTTTAAAGTGAATTTCCGTCCAGGCGAGATCCACGTTTCTACTTCGCGGATGGTTTTATTCTTATTCTTCTTGGATTTAGTGAAATGATTCGTTAGGTTGTTTATTTACGTATTTAGTTCATATGCTTTGAAGAAGAGATGACGACCGCCAAACGAAACGCTTACTTAGCAATATTTTCAGTTTGTTTCAATTGTTTCATTTCATGACCGCTCAGGTTTTTCAAAAAAACCTTCTACACTCGATGAGGTCGAATCTTAAGAATGCTTCACTTATTTCATACAAGATTTTGACACATAAGACAGATTTGGTTTTTTGTGAGATCGCGTGACTGAGCACACACAGTCACAAGAAAGATCAAAACAGGAAAATGAGATGTAATAAGCTTCTTTGATATTATTCACCGGAGCACCTTGTTAAACTGACAATTTGCGGTTTCAAAAGACAATTGAAACATCCGTTAAAATTTCGCACGTTGAATGCTCTCCTATAGCAATGATGTTCATTTTTTGCTTTACGCTCGATGAGAGACAGTCTTAACAACGATCAGAACTTGAAGTTGATCGGGTGTTTTTTTTTTTTTTTTTTTTTTTTTTTTCAGTGATTTTAAAATTTGGCATAATAAACTACGCATAACAAATTTCCGAACGATCACGTGAAGGTCAAGTTCGGATAACGTTTCACAAATAAAGGATTTCCGTTTCTGATCGTATCGGTTATGATTCATCAGAAATTTATGCCATTAAATTTGTCATATTTCTTCCTTTTATAGAATAAATAGAAAAAGAATGAAAAAAAAAAAACATGTGTGAGTGTTTTAAGAGTACATCTGGACAATACCTGTAAACGGCAGACAAACTGCGTCATGATTTACATAATAAACCTGTCTTGTGTTCACTGTTGGTTTTTCCATTGAAGTCAACGTAGAATATTTGCTCTGAAATTTAAATGGCTTTTAAAATCTGGCATAGATAATTTGTTTCTCTAATAAGACGTCAAACACCCACTAACAAGGAGATTTGAAATGTCGCAAGACGGTTCAGACAAAGGCGCATGAGGTGTAACTTAAATAATTCCACCTTGGGTCATCAATCTCTACGGAAGGCTTATAATTGGGTCCTTAGCATATCGCTAACGAGAAGCGCTTAACATGCGTCTGTTAAGCTTACTGAAACAACTCTGTGAAAATTCCAAAATAGTGAAATCATTTCAGCTTGGATAAGGAGGAAAAACCAATCCTGGGAAAATATCATTTTAAAAGAGATGCACGAAGTTAGTTTTATCGAGTAATCTGTGAGACTCTAACGTTAAACGTAGTCTTAGACGATTAGACACACGACTCTTCAAGCTTGATGCTTTATAGGATTATCGTAGAGCGATTGTTATGATGGTGATGATACTTGTTTAAGTCGAAATTCCTTCTTATCGGTTCGAAAGCGAAACAAGAGAATTGAGCCGGCGAAGACGATATTGAATCATACACATTTGCCTGTCGTACGGATGGACCCTGGCCCACCTCAGCTTTGGTCCTTTGTAGATCGGTAGTTGAGTATCGAAGCGCAAAATAAAAAGGTTAGATGGGCGAATTCAAAGGTTTTCTTTGTCTTCCGCTAAGATTAAAATTTTTTTTCCAAGGGACCAGTCATTATATTTCGCCTGGAGGGGGTGGAGGGAACGAAGGGGCGATCAATCGTTGCCCGCAGAGTATAAAAGGGGACAATATAGAAAATTGGCTGACCAGTCCCTAACCACTCATCACAGTAAGATCATGAATGAGCTAAAGGTGAACAGAATCAGTCATAGGAGCCACAGCTACACAGCATTTTTGATATTTGACATTTTTATAGATGAATAGCTTAACGGATATTGCACACAAATAAATATACTTGCAACTAAGAAGACAAGAAGTTTCTAGACAGGATTAAGGAAGGCGTTGTTTAGGCCAAAAGCGAAACGAGAACGTTTCCATGGTTATCCTGATCAACAGATCTAGGAACTTCTATTCGCTGGTCAGGTTACATTGACCTTCAGTACCCAGACCATCGCCGTTCATATGAGCACGAGCTCAAACTTTGTATCCATGGTGCCCAGTAGAGTTGATCAGTGGCGTATGCATGTCTGGTCGTATGAATGTACAGCCGAGTCTGAGATGAAAATGCAGTTCCCGGCCCGTCGCAGAAAACATGTTTATGATTACGGGAAAAATTTAGCAAGAACCTTTTCAGCTCAGTGTTTCGGTCTCGTGCTGTACTGGTAAAGAAAAATATTATAGGTAATTTATAGAAGTTCCCCTTCTACATATTGAGACAGTATCGCGTGACAGACCAAGAGAAAATAATGGGCCAGAGAGAGAGAATATCTATAAATAACTGGAGTGAAATTGACATATCTAATGGCTTAGCTTAGAAGCCTTCCTATCTGTCCTTCTTGGACATACCCATCGCCAAAATCTTAGACAATCTTTTCAAATAATAATTGGGCACGAAAATGTATAACGGTTTACATGTTCTATTTAGCAAATATCATTTTGTATCCATTTCCGAAGTTGTAAGGCCATGGACGGGTGCTTTCTTTGTTCTAAAATACGATCATTGTGTTTTTAACACGTTTTGAAAGATTAAGCTGTAATGACAAAGCTACAGATATCTGGATTTTTTTTTTTCATTTTGAGGCTGCACTTTGCTATCATTTGCAAATTTTCAGCTCGCTCACCATTTGTATGTATGCCACTGCATTTGCATTTTCAGTCTTACGGAGCAGCTATTGCAATATTTGACCCGTGCGTCTGGCGTGCGTAACAGAATGAGTTTATGTCTGGTTTTACCAGTCCTGAAGAACGACTCGTTACGTTTTTTGTGGACAATAGACGCAAAAAGACGTGATCATTGGTTCCTTTAGGTTTTCTTAGGCATTCTTGGCGTCTCCTCTAAATCTATTAGTCTCTCTGCAGCTACATTTTTTATTTCATCTCAGAGAGATATGACTGAAGAAATAATTTGTGAAAAAGGTCGAACGTGACGGAATGCTGAAGCATACAAGTCAGTATTGTATCACGTACTCTAAGATCCCGAGGAAAGAACGTTTGCACGTAATAATATGACGTATCAGGGGGGCTCCTGCATGCCGGTATGCAAAACTGTAAATGAAATCGATAGCGACAGGGTCTAGTTAGCTCACTTTGTTTCTTCATTCTATTTCCTCTTAAGTACTTTATTCCTCATTTGTTGAGATTTTTACGCAACTCTAGTCAGGATCTTTCGAAATTAATTTTGATTCTCGCTGCTTATGTATACCGAAAGGATGTACGTGCTAAAATGTGTTGGCAGCATAATGAATATTTTGGTTAGTACCCCAAATTACATTACAAGGAAGCAAATAGTTCCATTGAAAGCGGGCGGACCGTGAAGAACAAGGATCTAAACATAGAACACGTTAAATTCCAGTGGTCATGACCTTATTGGGCTTTTCGCGCAACATAGTACAACCTTTGGCAGAAAAAGTAAGCTTTTTCTCAACCTACAATATCTAGTTTTCTGCTTTGCAAGAGCTGTTTCGTGACTTGCAGTTCGTTGTATTAGCGGATTTGAGGAACTTCCTTGTGCGGGTAGAAAAGTGTTGTTCACGTACCAATTCAAAAGGGAAAACCCCTTCAGATATAACACTTCACATGATTAAAAGGACTGGCATCTATAGACAGCTTATCCCTATATAAATCACCAAATCATTTTCGATGCAGAATTTGTGCAAAGCTGTAGACGAAGCCCTGACGAGTCAAGACTTTGCAACATAGAGAAAGAAAAGGTAGGATAACTGAACTAGTAAAGGAAGTTATAATCATTGGAATCTCGTAAAGTTTAAGTTATTGATTAGGTAGAGGCAAAAAGCTTCAAGTAATGTGGCTCTTATAATTGTGGTCATATTCCAAAGCCCAATCTCTCTAATTCACAGTTGCTTCCCTAGGCTTGCTGTATTTTCACAATATCCAAAATTAATTTCACTCTATTAGCGAAAAACTTCAATAGGTAAGTTCCGTTTTGCATTGGTCTGATAATTTAATTTTCACCTAACGGCTGTTGGTCATTTCCCAATGGCTCCGATGTCTGCCACTAGCCTGGTAGCATAGTACAACTATTTAAATTGAAGAAAGGCCAACGCTCGAAACGTCAGCTTTATAAGCTAAATAGGTTGGCCAATTTCCATTATCAACTCATTTCATAAAACCAAACAATCCGTTAAATTCTACTTTAAAACGTTACATAGACTTAAAATCGGTCGTAACCTGCCGTTTGTTAGTTATAAGTTTCTTATAAAATGCGCGGTTTAAGTTTTTGCACTGATCTAAAAATACTTCGGAGGACCTTTTGCAGCTACGCATTCCTCCCCCACGATTATTTCCGTGCTAGAATGCTATATTTAGGCCGGAAAGAGAAAAACACAAGCTCGTCAGGAAAAAGATAAAATATTACAGATTTCTCTTGACCCCATTTTTTCGGTCATTTACTATTAACTAACTCAAACCGCCGCTAACTCGAATCACTTTTTTTTTTCTCCGGGGTTTCTTTTTGCCGTGTTCCAAGTTAACGCTGGTCATCTAAATCACTGTCACGTTACTTTCAATCTAAATCGTGACAAATCGAGCGTTGCATCATGGTGTTTTTCTTTCGCAAGTTGTACTGTGCTCAGAGCCTGCTTACAGGTGGTAGTTGGTATGCGCGAGATTCAGCGCGGCGAATATATTCGGTCGCCATATCTGACGAGTAAAAGATCAGGAACAAGTGATAAAGCGAGGGGAGAGGGTGGGGGGAGTGTTTCTGGCCTCTTTCCCCTCCCCCCTTCCCCTTTCGCTTAGCCACTCGTCCCAGATCTTCCACCCGTCCAATATGACGACCGAACATATTCGCCGCGCTGAATCTCGCGCATATCAAGTACCGCCGACAAGCAGGCTACCAGCTACTGTGCGTAGCTAGCGGCGTTCAATTCGATGTCGGAAACGATCAGTAAATTGTCGGCGATGACATTTCTTTACTTGGCGGGGCTTTATGTGGAAATGTGCTTTGCGCGACGAAAATAATCTTAAGAGTGTCCTAATCTGAATATAATACAAATTAAATATCGCGAAGAAAAGATAGAATTCCATTATTTCCTAACAGGATATTTTTATTTTTTCGGATTTTGTTCTGATAGTGAGGTTGTCATGGCTAAACACTATCACGTGACGCTGTTGTTGTTGTCCTTTATGACGTTGCTTTTGCGTAAGTATCGTATTTTAAGTACAGAAGGTATTTTTTCTTTTCTACGCTCCACGTCTGAGAATAAGCTACAATGTTAATAATAAGGCAGCCTTCAAATCATATACAGGGAAGCCATGAAGAATGAACTAATGAGTACATGAAAAAATCTTACAAATGAAATAATCGCTCGTAAGCTGTAGGGTGAAATCAAAGGAGGAGGAGCGTTTCAAGGGGAATGCAGATGAAACAGAAATCCGTGCTTATGAATCCCATGCATAGATACAAGTTTAGTGTGACTTGGCAGAATTGCTCTCACTTAAAACAGGTGTCATCTTGACGATATCAGTCAAAGATAATTCCCATTGAAAAAACCCACTAGTTCATGTATCGTAGCTCTTAATCTGACATCAACAAAATACTGAAAGGCATTTTTTCAATATGAAGGCCTCGAGGTGCAGGCCAATTCATCGTGCCAAGCCGACCAGATTACAATCAAGGATCCAAGAACTGGTTCGATTCAATGCCAGGATTGTTTGAAATGCTCGCCTGGCGAGGGTCTCTTGGTCAATTGCGGGGACGTGATAACCCCTTCAACACCAGTGCAGTGCAAGCCATGTATGCCGGGAGAGACGTATTCTGCTTCCTTCAATACCGAAGCTTGTCAAGACTGTGAAAATTGTGGTGAGTACCGTGAAACAACGAAAGCCTGTACGGTGACTTCCAAGGCCAA